TAACCAAGGTAGAATGACGTGAAGCACATTATAAAACCAATATAAAACAAACCTCTACAGTGTAGGATTCTCATTCAATGTCAAGTGTCCCACAAATAACCAAGGTAGAATAACAGGAAGCACATCACGTTCGATTCTCATTCAATGTCTAGTGTCCCACAAATAACCAAGGTAGAATAACAGGAAGCACATCACGTTCCTGATGTAAGAATTTCAGCTTCATCCCCATGTCGCAAATCTTCATTGGGGCTCTCGGGTCCGTCGCACAGATAAATGATGACAAAAATGTTCAGCTAGTGCGCCTTCTGCTCATGCTGACGAAAATCTTCTACAAACGTTCCCGTTCCCGATTATTAACCATCTCCCATGCAGCTATAGCTGGTTCATCTTTCAGAGCGTTGACCACCCCCACCGGTTTGAGAACTGGAACTGGCTCAAAACGGTCATAAGGAGCATGTAAAGTATGCCTAAATGCAAAGTATAACATGATGCCTCCTTAGAAATGTTAACAGCACTCCCACCACCGTCGTGAACTCTCCCACTGCTCCCTCTGGCGCTGCTGTCAACTTCCATGTAAAGGAGCCTGTCTCCTTGGTAATATGGACAGCACTCCCACCGCCGTCACGAACTCTCCCACTGCTCCCTCTGGCGCTGCTGTCATCTTCCATGTAAAGGAGCCCAGTCTCGCATGGGCATGCCCTGCCAACGAAAGAATTCCATCTTCAAAGCGCCTGGCAGACTTCCCCGGCTGACAGCATCTCCCTACCCAGGATCTTCTCCAGGGGAAACGCAGTACAAAACATACCACGCGGAGCAGAGTTGCTTCGAAGGATTTCCCCTTAGCTCGTCGATAACTCACGCGCCGGCGGCTTCTCGCAGCTAACTCCCGAGGTGTTAACCTCGGTATTTCCGATAACATCGTTGCCTCCCCTGCATTAGCGCTGCCTTAGCCCATGTTAGCGCGCTAAGGTACCGCCAACCGACGCGGCCGCCAGCCCTAAACTGCCTCTCGAGGTAGCACTGTGGCAAATCTGGGTCCAGTGACTGTGGCAAATCTGGGTCCAGTGATTTCGGGCCAGTCAGGTCGGTGCCAAATGTCAAACACACAAGTAGAGCTCAGGGTGTGTAGCCTCTGGCAAATCCAGGCAAGTTCAGACCGTGCCAAGTGGCGAGTTCAGACCGAACCTAGTCTATTATTGGGGCAAGTTCAGACCGTGCCAAGTGGAGAGTTCAGACCGAACCTAGTCTATTATAGGGTTGCACATCCAAAGTTTTATAGGGTCAAAATAACATAGTGGGAAGCACTGAATCGGGTGAGTTCAGTTCGTGCCAAGAGTCCACAACACAAGTAGACCTCACGGTCCGTAGCCTCAGGCAAATCCAGGCAAGTTCAGACCGTACCTAGTCTATTTTAGGGTTGCAAATCCAGAGTTTTCTAGGGTACAACACCTACTGGGAGCTCTTTCTCAGCGCGCTGTGCGTGAAGTCGTGGGCCGGGCCGTGCCGTTCCGTTCACACTCCTCCCAGAAACGAAACAGGTGAGTAAAAATGCAGATCTTTGTGAAGACCCTGACGGGCAAGACCATGGGGCTCGCTGCACTACTCTCGACATGCACAAAAGACAAAAATCATGGCGGTGCATCTTTCCATATTCTAGCGGCAGATTTACTCTCGTTTTGCACCTTTCGAGAGTAGTGCAGCGAGGCCCCAACCCCATAACGTTGGAAGTCGAGAGTAGCGATACCATCGACAACGTGAAGACGAAGATTCAGGACAAGGAAGGGATTCCTCCCAATCAGAAGATTCAGGACAAGGAAGCGATTCCTCCGAATCAGCAGAGACTCATCTTTGCGGGACAGCAGCTTGAAGATGGCCGGACCCTCGCAGATCATAAGATCCAGAAGGAGTCCACCCCTACATATTGTGCTGAGACTTCGTGGAGGAATCATCGAGACTTGGCTGATGGCTCTTGCGAGGAGGTACAATCAGGAGAAGACGATTTGCCGCAAGTGCTATGCGCGGCTGCATCCGCGAGCGGTGAACTGTAGGAGGAAGAAGTGTGTCCACAGCAACCAGCTTCGGCCCAAGAAGAAGATAAAGTGAGATGCTGCTCCCTTTCGGCGTGCTAGTCTTTGTGCTCCACGTCGTGCCATTTCGAGTGTAGCTGGCTCTGTTCCGAGGCAGCAATGGCAGCATCAGAGATGGATCTGTAGATTTCCAAGCTGAGAGGTTATCGTTGATGTGATGAAGGCTGTAGTCTGGTGTAGTCGTAGCCAAAATTTTCTGCCGCCTCACACGCACGCAATGTGTAGTAGACTTACTGCAGGCGCGAGGAGGTGTCCTGGATTTCACGGGCTCTGTGGGTGTGGAAGGGTAGGGTTGGTTATCGCAGTCGTGATTTTGGATTAGATAATTGGAAAAGACAGGCGGTGGAGACATATCTCTCATCCCKYKCAYTCYACCGCCTGCAGGCGCGAGGAGGTGTCCTGGATTTCACGGGCTCTGTGGGTGTGAAAGGGTAGGGTTGGTTATCGCAGTCGTGATTTTGGATTARATAATTGGAAAAGACAGGCGGTGGAGACATATCTCTCACCCCTTTCACACCCCTTTCACTGATAATTGGAAAAGACAGGTGGTGGAGACATATCTCTCACCCCTTTCACGCCCCTTTCACTCCACCGCCTGCAGGCGCGAGGAGGTGTCCTGGATTTCAAGGGCTCTGTGGGTGTGAAAGGGTAGGGTTGGTTATCGGAGTCGTGATTTTGGATTAAATAATTGGAAAAGACAGGCGGTGGAGACATATCTCTCACCCCTTTCACTCCACCGCCTGCCTGCAGGCGCGAGGAGTTGTCCTGGATTTCACGGGCTCTGTGGGTGTGAAAGGGGTGAGACATATGTCTCACCCCTTGTGTGAGGAAGGCGTTTAAGCGAAGGAATAGGCACTGAATAGGCAATCCATGAGCTGAATCGAACACAGTGGAGTGAAAGATACAATCCATGAGCTGAATCACGACAATTTTTTTATTTTTTTTTTCCCCTACTCACTGGAGTTCGTTTGGTTTTGCAGGTCTGTGACTAATCCTTTTTCAAAGTTCGTTTGGATTTCAAGACAGCGACCCGGTTTTGATCACCCCTGTGGATTTCAGGACAGCGACCCGGTTTTGATCACCCCTGATATTTCCCAGATATTTCCTAGACATTTCAGTGTTGGGTAATTTGAAGTGGTGATTGGCCACTTGTAAGCCAAGCCAAACTGGCTGATGCTGCCAGGATGACTCCGCGGATTGGATTGAGGGGTCCGCGACATCAAATTAACCGGTTGTAATAAAAGATTGTTCATGCAAAAAAAAAAAAAAAAAAAAAAAAAAAAAAAAAAACTCAGGTCGGTATTTCGACAGTTCAGGGATGAACCAACTGAGGAAGGCCACCGTTGGTATCCCGACAGGTTTCGTAAAACGACAAAATACAACAAACACCACGAGCTAGGGACCTCAAGCTGTTGAGTGAGCGGTGCAAGTCATCAGTTGGAGTCCCGATGGAAGGGGGGCGTGCATTTCACAAGCTGGTGTGGTACAATTCGCTTTTTGGCCTCGCTCCACCACTCACCAAACGTGCAAAAGTGAGAATGAATCTCCCGCTAGAACATGGAAAGGTACATCGCCATATTTTTGTGTCTTTTGTGAATGTGGTGGTGAGTAATGGAGCGAGGTCCTTTGTTTGCAGTTTGCCCCAAGTTGAAAGGTTTGTCGTTTCCGCTCTGTTCTCTCTGGAGGTATACATTTCGTCAGTTTCTATCTCCAATTTATCAGTGCATACTCACACTAGCACTTTCCTAAATGCATATGACCGCTTTTCAGATCCGGGCTGGATGCACCTGATCGCATTTACGTCCACAGAGAAGTGGAAAAAGTCCGAGTATGAGTAAACCCTCATTCATGACCTGGCAACCTGCAGGTTAAGCAGTTCATAATTCCCCCCAAACTCATTCACGATCTGACAGCCTCCACATAAAGCAGTGGAAGAGATATCCCCCCCTTGGCCAATTGGCCCCTTTGCCCCCGGGACTGGGTAAGCAATGCACAACCACACCCCCCCCACTTCGCCATTTGGCCATTTGGCCCCTTTGGCACCGGGACTGGGTAATCAATGCAAAATCCACCCCCCCTTGGCCATTTGGCCCCTTTGCCCCCGGGACTGGGTAATCAATGCACACCGCCCCCCCCGCCCTTTTGGCCATTTGGCCTCTTTGGCCCCGGGACTGGGTGATCAATGCAAAATTTGCTCGCAGGCGTGGCGACGTCTCCTCCCCTATTTATTTTTTTTGTTGTTGTGTAACATTATCCTTGTGTGACGCTGATCCGATTTCCAGCACGTGCTGCTCCATACCGATGTAGACCGGAGATATCAAGAAGAACGATCTCTCCATCACGCTTAAAGGGGGGGGGGTGTCACTGTTATAAGGAGGGGTTGACGCATAAAGGAGGGGGGGGGGGGAACGTTTCCTGCGGACAATCGCAACTTTTTATGTTTTTAATTTTTTTTTTAAATCGCAACTTTTGAACCTCGCTGCGCCAGATGTGAAAAATAGACCAAACCACAGAAAAGAAAAACCTGGTTAATGAAAGAAGAGCGGTAGCAAGAAGACTGCGCACGTAGCACTGATAGATCGGGTTGGAGAAAGAGGAGACGGAGCGGAAGGGGAGGGGAGGGGGGG